CCAAATAAGCATATATCCATCTGTTACTATTATTTAGCCTATGGGCATTAAATCTTTATTCACTGATGTTATAATTTGGGGGATGTTCTTGCTGCTAGAATATACTTAAGGACAATAATATTTAAGTTATTGTTGAGATTAAAAAACAATGAATTTAATAATATATAAGTCATAGTTCAGATTAAAAACACAATCTATTGAAATCAGAGGTTTTCCCTTTCCTCTTTTATCCTCATAAGCCAAAAGGGATATTTGATTATATGTGATTCTTGGTCAAATGAACATATTATCATATTGTGATCAGAAAATATTAAATTATTTTAAATGATAATATTGTAATTATTTATTAATTTTAATCATTTTATTTGAAAGGGTGATATATATAGAAATCTGTTAAATTGTAGGTAGTTTGAGTGATTAAATGCTTCTTTTTTTTTTCATTTAAAGTGGAAATTCAACACTTATCATTCAGGTTCCATCTGAAACAGTTCTGGAAGATGATGTTTATCCACTTGCGGTAAAGTTCCCCAAAGGCAAAGTCATTCAAGGAACTAGAGGTGGAATCAACAGTAAAATTCCCTGCCAACTAAGCTTTAGATCATCTAAACCGGTGTCATTTTTCACTAAAATTCTTTTTGGTGATAGCAACAAAAACTGGTAAGATATTTACGTGATGCTTTTGGATCTAATTGTGAAGTACCATAGTTTTCTATCTACAACATGGTGAAGACAAAAGTAGCAGGATTTTGCACATAAATATTTTCTTAAAAGTTCAAAATGTACCTTTGCTCTTATGAAACACAGCATAATAGTGGTTATCAACATGATCTATGGAGCTTGAGTGCCTGATTTGAATCCTGATTCTGTTAACTTTAATGAAGTTATGTAGCCTTCTGACTTTTTGTTTTCATATCTGAAAATTTAATAACTAATCCGCTCCTTCCATGGTTATAAGAACTTGAGTTAGTAATCAAAAAGTAATTGGAGTTTATAATGACTACATAATTGGACATGGCCTTGAACATTCCAAGGCGTCTTGGTGGCATAGTGGGTTATGTGTTGGGATGCTAACCTCAAAGTCAGCAGTTGAATCCACTAGTTGGTTGGATGGAGAAAGATGAGACTTCATGCTCTGGTAAAAATTTGCAGCCTTTTAGTAAAAGATTAGTAGTATGTGGCATGTATATAGTGATGAACTAATAAGAATTATATAAGAGGAAATTAAGACTAAGAATAGCATTTTCAATTTTTAATCAATATAATTCTGACTAGTCCTTCAAGTAAATTCAGCTAACGGTATCCCTGATTTAGGGAAGAGAAGAGATGTGAACTCTTGAGTGGCCATTAAATCCCATTTTCACTTCAGCAGTACTGACCAGAAGGGGCATTAGCCAGTGTGTTTGTGTGTGTATAGACACACACTCTGTCGTAAGAAACCCTATGCTGTCTAACTAGTCCAGAGAAGTTAAGATTACCTACTTTTAATGTCAAATCCCACTCCATACATGCTCCATCTTGGAGAAATCTCAGTTTCTCTTTCCTGCTCAGTGCAGGGCTCAGATATCCCACACAGCCCTTTCTTTCTCATCCTTTTACACTCAGGGCTAGACCAGTGGGTGCCTGCCCTTCTCTCCTCCTCTGTTCACCCAGAGCGAAGGTCCAATAATCCATTGATGAAACTCACAAACCCTAAGGAAAAGGACATTATTTTATCTAGCAGGGGGAAGAAAAATGCAAACACAAAAGGTGAGGTCCAGGAAAGATCTCAATGCAAAGTTTTCATGGCCCCAGCAGACATGCTTTCCTAAAAGCAGGTACTTCACGCTCTCTTTACCCAGAAAGCTCCCATGACCCACTGTCTTTCAAGACCTTTTACTGGCTTCGCTTCACTCCCATGATACAGTATATCTTCCCTTGTGAGACTTAGCATTGGGACCCCAGTTTACCCCTCTTTCTCTGGTCATTTATCATTGGCCTCAGGTATAATGAGGCGCTCAGGAACCATTATATAAGGTTTTTTCTTACCTTGCATATTTCAGTTGTTCTGGGTTTAAAATTGTGCAGCTTCCTGTACTAGAATATTCTCTCATGCTTTTAATGTTTCTGATTTGGAAATCAATATAAAAGTAAGTTGATTAGGGTGGAATAGGAGGAACTGATCTCCCACATATTTTTTCAAGGAATTATTTGCTGAAAGACCATGTGAAGTATAGTCATCAGACTTCATCCCTTTGTAAGCTTGGTTCTCTTTTTAAGCTTGGTTCTCATTCAGCTGAATGAGATGCTGATTAAAGGCACAGATACTTAAGCCTGAGGTCAGAAATTCTGAATTCCCTACCAGATTTTCTAAGGTCTAAACCCATTCCAGATATGGTTTACTTCTTCAAAATATGCTTCCCCTATATATTTCTTACACAAGAACTATTTGCTCAGAAGCCTTTGTAAACCCCACTATCTGTCTGGTTCCAGTAAATCCAGGCTCTAAGCCTCAAGCTCACTGCATCTAGTTGATTTCAACTCATAGTGACTATCTCAAAAAGTAGAACTGCCCTGTCCCTGTGGAGTTCTGAGGCTGTAAATCTTTGTAGAAAGCCTCATCTTACTCCCCAGAGCAGCTGGTGGGTTTGAAATGCTGGCCTGGTGGTTAGCAGACCACTACACCACCAGGACTCCTTTTCCCTGTGATAATTAGTGATTGAATGCAACACCTATGGAATCCTTTTTGATGACTATAAAGCAGTCATAGATATGAGCTGAAATTTATCTTTTTATCATTACCAATCGTGACTTAAAAATAATCTTATTGGGGGCTCTTATGAAAATCCACATATCAATTGTATCAATCACATTTGTGCATATGTTGCCATCACCATTTTCAAAGCATTTTCTTTCTACTAGAGCCCATGGTTTCAGCTCCTATTTATCCCTCCATCCCCCATCCTCCCACCCTCGTGTACACTTGACAAGTTATAAATTATTTTCATATTTTACACCGTCTGATGTTCTGATGTCTCTCTTCATCCATGTTTCTGTTGTTCATCCCCCTGGAGTGGGTGGGAGCATGTTATACGTTGATCATTGCGATCAACAACCCCTTCTCCCCCTTCTCCTCCAACTTTCCCCTTGGCCTCATTACTGCTCCCACTGCTATTCCTGAGGGGTTTATCTGTACTGGATAGCATGTGCCCAGAGCTCTTATCTGTACCAATATACTTGCTCGAGTCTAGCCAGATTTGTAAGGTAGAACCGGGGTCATGATAGAGGGTGGGGCGCAGGCATCAAAGACTCAGAGCAAGAAAATCAAAATGTGAATGAGGGTGTTGGGGGGGAGTGCGGAGCGGAAGCCCAAAGCCAATCTGTAGGAAATTGGACATCTCTTTACAGAAGGGTCGTAGGGAGAAGACGGGCCAGTCAGGGTGCATTATAGCACCAATGAAACATATAGCTTTCTTCTGGTTCTTTAATGCTTCCTCCCCTCCACTATCATGACCCTGATTCTACCTTCCAAATCTGGTTAGACCAGAGCATGTGCATGGGTACAGATAAGAACTGGAAACACAGGGAATATAGGCAGATAAACTCCTCGGGACCAATATTGAGAGTAATCATACCAGGAGGGTAAGGGGAAGGTTGAGGGGAGAAAGGGGGAACTGATCACAATTACTTATCTATAACCCCCTCCTAGGAGGATGGACAACAGACAAGAGGGTAAATGGAGACATCAGACAGTGCAAGACACACAAAAAAATAATTTATAATTATCAAGGGTTCACAAAGGAGGGAGGGGGGGGAGGGAGGGGGGGAAATGAGAAGCTGATACCAAGGGCTCAAGTAGAAAATGTTTTGAAAATGATGATGGCAACAAATGTACAAATGTGCTTGACACATGGACGGATGTATGGATTTTGATAAGAGTTGTATGAACCCCCAATACTATCATTTAAAAAATAAGACATGCTTCCTCATTTTCAAAAAAAATTCTAGCTGTTTGAAAAAAATGTGTGACCTTGCTAATAAAGGCCATAATCTATCTCTAGCTAAGGGGAGGTTTCCATAATCTATCTCTAGCTAAGGGGAGTACAGTGATTACTTACTGGTCTGTTTGATGTTTAATTGAGTATTTCTTATCTATTGCTTGCTAATAAAATACTTTATATTTGTATCACTGAACTTACAAATATAACTCTGTAATGGTGACTAAAATTCTAGTCTTTTCATTAGTTTATTGAAATGGAAATGCAAATTGTTTTCTATTCATGAATGTCTTTCTTTCCTCCCACTCTCACCTTCTGTTGTTCTCTTGACCACTGTTAAACTCAACAATAGTAATATTTAAGAGATTTTTTCCCTCCAGATTAGACTCTAGCAGCAAATAGTAGCTCTGCAATGTTAATAACATATCTCAGATAATGGTGAGGGTCAGTCTTCAATTATATTTTATAGCCAGCTCATGAGTGTTTGTAGATTGGAATCTGACATTTCCCAGAGCCTTGCTTCTAGACATAATGCTTTCCTTAAAAATCTACATATAACCCCCTTCCTGGGGGATGGACAACAGTAAAGGGGGCAAAGGGAGACGTCAGACAGTGTAAGATATGGCAAAATAATAATAATTTATAAATTATCAAGGGTTCATAAGGGGGCTGGGAGGGAAGGGGGAAATGAACTGATATCAAGGACTCAAGTAGAAAGAAAATGTTTTGACAGTGATGATGGCAACAGATGTACAAATGTGCATGAGACAATGGATGGATAAGAGTTGTACGAGCCCCCAATAAAATGATTTTAAAAAAATCTTCAAATAGAAAAATCAACAGGATGTTGAATTCATTTCTGCTTTGCTGAAACACAGTAGGTGGTTTAGAATTCCCACTTTGGTTTTGAAATGTAATCAGTCTTCTTTCCATCTAAAATGATCTTCATCTCATACTTCCTTAAGCTACTGGGCACGTGGTGTGCTGACACCCAGCAGTGATTGCACCCAGAGCAGTGATTGCACCCTTCTCTAGTCATGTGAACCCTTTAACTTCCAACTCTAGTATACCTGTAGGAGAGTTCTTATATTCTGATTCCGATCTCTGTTGTATGAGGAAACATGACCAAAAGGTACTCTAAATTCAGCAGCACTTAAGAGGGAAATTTCATTTCCTTAACTATTAGGGCATGCACTGACATCTGTGAATTTGTGTTTAAAAAGATATGCTAAGCAAATTATTTATCTGACAGATTGTGGTGCATAAGGATATGCAGAGTCTCTGCTGCTTCCTCATTTTCTGCTCTTTCTCTGGGGGCCCATATCCCAGAATTTAGCAAGCATTTTCATGGATGATAGACACTTGTCTGTATTTCTATCATTCCAAATCTGTTATTGATTGAGGGGAGATGTTTTGGATGGGTTTCCTTGATTTTTTAAAAAAGTAACAAAACAGTGTAATATAAATAGACTCCCTGTGTTTGTTTTGTTTTTACCATTGGATTTATATTTAATGGGGACATCCAGAAAGAGATTATGTCTTTGGAATATTTAATGAGATGAGTTTGTTTTACATTGCTCTTGGTACATCATAATTTCTACTGAATTTTCTGTTTTCTTCCTCTTTGAGACACTTCTCTAATGCCAGGGGTCCCCAAGTAACTCCACCCTCTGTATTTGCTCA